TTTAGTAATATTATGGTATTTCCCAAGTTTCGCCTTTTTTCATCGACTCGTGTGTTCCGAGGATTGCTTAAAAGGAGCCAAATATCAAACCGTTCGAAAATTATGGCAAATTAATGCCGCGGCTACAGAGAACGGACAAACATTGATTTCGAAAAAATTGATTTCATCGATTTTTCGAAACCGATCCGCGAACAAAATTTCTTATTACGACCCGCGTCAATTTCGGGTTCTTTCTTTTCCATTTCGGCGGCTTTTCTTTCGCCGCAACAACGAAAAAAATTCGCCTTCGGATTTACCGCAGCCTTCGATTTTTCTTATTGCCACCAAATCAAATTTTAACTTCCATTTCGATCGCATATGCATACTCCCGTCTCGTGGGCCCGACGTAAACGCATCACTTGCGTCTGGTGAAATAAAACTTTGCCGTGCCAATTGAGTGCCGGTTTTATGAACATCGAAAAACAGGGTACAAGGTTATTCATGATATTTTGACACCCACCTACCTTGAATGGAATGCCCTATATATTATTAGCATAAATCGTAGTCTGATTGCAAAAACATATAGTTTATTGACATTTCATTTATCCGTTCCTGACATATTTCAGTTTAAAAGTAATTATCATTCGATTTCTGGACAATAGCTGTTTAAAAATGGTCAAGTCTGCCTTGATATCAATCATATTGACAACTAATCAAAACTAACGATCTGCAGCGTAAGTTAAATAAGTTAAGACATTTCAAATCAGATATACTGATAAACAACGCCACATAAAACATGACACTGCTGTCATTTTGACAGCTCGCGATTGTGGTTTTTTTTTTCTGACGTTTGCATAAGATAATAGAGCAAAAATCTTCAAACTTTTGTGTTTACCTTTTTTTTTCTATCTTTGAAAATTAACCCGGTTGGTGGGTGTCAAAATATAATGAAGAGCCCAGTACATAAACAGTTTCCATTGGAATAACGACTAATTAAAATAATCCTTAAATCGTATTCAGCTTCGCGGCCCGTCGTGTGGACTTAGCCTCGACTTTCCTTCACTAATTTATAACGGGTAAAGACTGACGTTACGCGTTAAATGGAATTAATAAAATTCTGGCCATAAATGCCAGATTATGGAGGAAAAAATGCCGACGGAGATTCGTAAAATAACTACCGGCTTAGATAGGTATTTAGTACGCTTAACATTTTTTGAGGCTTATATGGCTTACGTCGGCAATCGGGTTTGTTTTGTTTCGACAAATTTATCAAAAACCACGAGGCTCGGCCTGTACATTAACTGAAAATCTATTTGTAGCAGTAGGCCGTAGTAAATCAACTAAATCAACAAAAATTAAGATACATCTAAGTAGTTATTACTATATATATTACGTCCTGGAAAATCTACCCGTCCCGGATTTATATATATATATATATATATATATATATATATATATATATATATATATATATATATATATATATATATATATATATATATATATATATATATATATATATATATATATATATATATATATATATATATATATATATATATATATCTCATTGGTTTCGTTACACTAATCCCAAATTTTACGATTAAATCATAACGTTGAACCGACGTGATGTTGTAGCGAAAGCTTCTTCGAAAACTGACCGTCTTGTGTGGTAAGCTGCAAGCGCAAGCTGTGAACGCCTGAACTATACACCAGATGTTATTCTCGTTACCGCTGAGGTTGAAAGAGAAACTTGACGCACATAAAATGAATATAATGTAGGAAAATACTCCAGAAATAGATCGTGACGTTGATATCCCCCTTGTTTATTAAATGGCAGTCATAAAAGTCACCTCTCACAAACAGGGACCAGGGTTTTCTGCTCTGTTAATAACTGGGGTTGCAATCGATTCGTTTCTAAAACATTGAAACCTGATTAAAATTAAATGAAATAATTTGGTGCGTCGCGTGGCTTCAATATTGAAGCAACATCCTCTTGGACCTTTTGGTTAGTAGAAAAATTGTTGTGTACCTGCCATATAATGCCATGACGTACTCGCCTAAAAGTAATATTTTCAGCAAATGTAATGTCATGACCTACTCACTTAAAATTTATATTATCAGCCAATGTAATGTCATGACGTACTCACTTAAAAGTAATATTATTAGTAAATGTAATGCCATGACTTACTCACTTAAAAGTAATATTTTCAGCAAATGTAATGTCATGACGTACTCACTTAAAAGTTATATTATCAATCAACCAATGTAATGTCGTGACGTACTCACTTAAAAGTAATATTATCAGCTAATGTAATATCATTCGTACTCACTTAAAAGTAATATTTTCAGCAAATGTAATGTCATGACGTACTCACTTAAAAGTTATATTATCAGCCAATGTAATGTCGTGACGTACTCACTTAAAAGTAATATTATCAGCAAATGTAATGTCATGACGTACTCACTTAAAAGTTATATTATTAGTAAATGTAATGCTATGACGTACTCAAAAGTAATATTACCAGATATGATGACCAAATCAATGACATCGTACTTCAGAGTCCAGATTGATCTAGGCGTCACTTTTGACCCTAAACATTCTTTCATTCCACATATTGACTCCGCTGTGTCTGCCTCCAATAAAATGTACGGATTTATAGCACGGAACTCTCGATACTCAATAGATTTAGAAACTTTAAAGACTCTGTACTACGCATTTGTTGGATCTAAATTGGAATACGGTGATACTATATGGAGTCCGTTTTACCAAGTCCATTTAAGGAAGTTGGAATCTCTACAACGCAAATTCTTGAAACTCTTGTCTTTCAGGCATCCCCCAGTTGATATAAGCAATACTTGGCTTCGTTATAAGCATAACGTACACAAATTAAATTCCCACCGCGGTATTCTTGTACAAAATTATTCATAATCAGGTTGTTCAGCCTCTTATCAAAATTGAACTTTGATGTTTCCAGGGTTACCTCAAGAGTAGATCAAACAGACTGGGCAAGTTTCCAGCTTGATATATTTTCTTCTTCTGTACGTGACGTTAAAACATATTTTTTAAGGAATGACATATTTGCTTTTTTTTTATTTGTTACTTATGTCCCTGTTCTATAGTTGGTTAGTTATCCCCTCGAACAGTGTGTCTAAATAAATAAATACATATTTAAATTCGCACTCTAGTACTTATCTAATACAAAGCCGCATAGTTACTGGAGATAAAAGGTACTTCGCGGCATTCGACAACCAACATGGCGGCTGAGAGATCGTAGGCAGCTTTTTGTGCTTAAACTTTCGTATCAGTAAGGTACACATTCTAATGTTTTTGCTAAATGAACTGGAGAGCTACGATGGTTACTTGCCAATTTACATAGGTATAGTGCTGAAAGCAAAAGGATTTCCAAGTAAGGATCTATTCTGTAGAAAACCTGCGCCAATTCTACAAAAAAATATAATTCGCATTATAGCTGACAACTCTTGAAACTCCGTTATTGTTAAGTGCGAAGACTTTAATTTGCTAGAAAACAAAATTCTTCCGCCTTACAGGTCAATCTCACAACGAGTGCCCACCATATAACATATGCCGTGGTATTGGTTCCCCTGAATATACAGCAGGGCAGATGATTGCTGACCAGTTTATATTTATTCTATTCTGTAATTAGTAATTGTTTGGTTACCTCCGTTTTTATAGAGCGGGTTCGAAAATTTCTAAAATCTTAAAAATATGGACTTTACGTTTTTATTTTATTGGAAACAGTTGTTTTTTCTGGGTCCTCTCCTCTGGAGATCGTTCGGTTTCCAATAGATTCTCTTTTAAAAAAACTCTGTATGCCTGGAGTCTGGAATAAACGAATGTACAGGGTGGTCGTAACAGCAAAAACGTATTTCTGAACTGGATAGAGCAAAGTCGGCAATTTTCGGCCCTAAGAACCATTTACTGTTTTAATTTTGATTGGGTTATTTAGAAAACAAAATTATAGTTTTTTTCACCTGGTGAACAAAACACAATTAAGATTAGAATACTATATAGAATAATATATAGAGAAATGAAAACTATTTGTTGGATTTATTTGTAATAAAATGGTATAAAAAATGTGAGTACACCACCTGTATATCCCTTAAAAAATGCCCTAATGTTTTTGTGTTTTAGTTTATATTAATTTATTTATTATAACAGGCTACCCTAACATGACCAACTAACGTTACAATTCTGGAAAGGTTCACTAAAACTAAGTACATTTATCTTAATTCAAACGCGTGAGCAAAACTATTTCTAAATCCAGAAAAAAGTCAAAAAAAGAGATATTGCTGAGTTGCTTCCTAAATTTGTAATATATTAAAGGATAGTTTTTCCAACAATTTTGTCTACTCTGTTATTAACAATATTGTGCAAAAAAATGCCGCTGTTTTGGTTATATCTACAGTTCATGAGTACCACCAGCGATTTGGGATTTTTAAATTATTTGCTAACCCTTGTAACAAAACCCGAGTTTCTGTAAGCCTTTTTATACCGGGTGACACAAGAAAGTGGGAACACTCTATAACTTTAAAACGACTTCAGATAGCGGTTTGAAATTTTGAACGGTTAATATCGGCTGAATGTCCGATTTTTTGGCAATATGTGGTCAATGGTTGAATTTCCGGTTTGAGCGGAAACGACAGTACAAAGAATTCAGGAGAACATTCTACGTAGGATAGGATGGTTTTTCCCTTTTAGTTTTGTTTTTTTTTTTAGTTTTTATTTAATTTTTGAAAATTGTGCCTAGGAGGCTGTGACCATCATAAATACAATTTACCGGACTATGGAAAAAATTGTTCAGCCTATATTAACACTTCCAAATTTAAATGGGCTATCTCAAGCCCACTTTCTTGAGTCACCTGGTATGTATATTTTAAAACTCAGTTTTGTGACTCCGGTTACTCCAAGGTCCCTGATGAGTGAGTGAGCCGATTTGGCTCGGTCTAGTTCAGCAATATCAACTGTTTCGCTGTTAACGCACTAATTCATTTTGCAGCATGCTGGCAAACTGCAACGATCGTCTAAAGGCAATCAGCATTGACAATTTTTCGAGCATGATGGAGAGGAGAGACGACGAAAGGGCGGACCAAAGGGCCTTCGATGAAGAGTGACCGCCATCCGTTTTCCAAAATTTGATCTTGTGGTCCAGAACGTTCTACACATATATCTAAAGACAAAATATATAATAAAATAGATATAACATTTTCGAGGTCGTCATGCTTCGTGATTTTCCTTCTGTATAAAGTAATAATTTTCCCGGAAAAGCGGCTGATTTTTTTGTGCCAATAAAAAAAAGTTTTGTTGTCCGAAGTGATTTTTTTCCCTCTCGTTCCTTTGTGACGACGTGAAGATAAAACGGAGAGAAGAGGAGAAATGAACATGAAAAAATTGAGAAAATTAATGTATTGCCCGAAACATACAATGTATATAATGTACCTTGCAAAATCTCATTATCGTTATAAAAACTTTCCTCTGTTAAAATGTGCTCAATTCAATTGGTGAACAGTTGTTTTTGAGAATTGAGTTGTTAATGGACAATTGAGTTTTGTTTACACGATGATAGGGAATACCCGCCATTTTCCAACTGAATAAAAATGCAACTGTGTACTGCGCACACCCAGAAGTTTTAGCTTTTAAGACGATTCAAACGATATCGTTTTGCTGCAGATACGGCCCAGTTAATAAGAAATTGCTTTTTTTGGCAAACACAGACAAAAACAAATAATGAAGTAGAAATACTATCTTAATTCAGAGTCTCGTATATTCTTAAAGGCATATGAAACATTTAACGCACTTAAAAAAAAAAAAACAAAAACTGTTATTGGGCTTTCATATACGACCATTCGGTTAATAAAGCGCACAACAAAAATGGAGTCGGTTATATAGGCCCACCTAAAGCACGACTAAAATAGGTAATGTACATTTAGTTGTTTTTTATATAAACAGCTTTAAATCCTAAAATGCCAAGTTTGCATAAAACATATTTTTTTATAACTAAATAAACCAACAAAATAAAAGCATTTTAATAACAACAACGCAAATTAAACTCTTTGAAAGAAAAATACTCAATCTAATCACAACGATTTAGAACTTGATAAAAACCGATCTTTGGTTACCGGCTGTGCCTTGTAATTCTTTTTAAAATCTTTCTTTCCACAGTTCTGGTGTAGGAAGAAGTTCCTTAAAAGACTTTTTAAGATCTACACTTTCTTCTCGTGCCTATGACTTATCGCATTATCAGTCTTGACAGGTGTTTTGGATTTCATTTATTATTGGATATTTTTTAACATACTAAGTGGAATGTCATCTTCAATAATATTATCGTTACAATCATTGTTAATATTATTAGCATTAACCTCGTTTCATCATATGGTCACATTTTCTGCGTGCTCAGGTGCAACTAAGTGAACACGAATGGCACCTTTTTGCCCAATAACAAGCTGTTGATAATCCGACATCCCTTTTCGTCCATATTGAAATTCATTTCATTAAAAACGTTAGGTAATTTATTAAAGTGACCACCTACTACAAATTTAATTTTTGGGCACATTAGGATTACCTTTCAAAAACCCATAGAGCCAATCCTTACCAGCGACTCCTTTGGGATCATCAAATGGGTATTAACGGCATTCCGATTTCAGTTTTTCGCCAGATCTTAGATGGTTTCTAAGAGTTGTCCTGGGTATTCCAGTAGCTAAGGTTTCGAGTTTCCGCTGGTGAGCCTTATTAGCTGCAGGTACCTTACTTGCAGAGACTGCGCCACTTAAACGTCTACCCAAGTTAAGTATCGTTGTGTCATCTACATATCTGATCTTATGCTAAGGAGTAAGTTGTTAATATGCAGGGTTTTCTAATCGAATGTCAATAATTATAGAGGCGATTTTTGGATTTATTCTAAAAAGAAAACTTCATACTTGAGATACAGCAGCAGCATACAATTTAAAGTGTCACTGGCAACAACGTAATTTTTTCCGCCTCACTCAGTACGTAACTCACATCAAGTAAATCGGCATTAAACAATAAACTTTCTGAATTTATTTACTCGGTTGTCATGTCATTCTCAGACACAAAGAAGAACATTCTTGTTTGACATTTTGACAAGTGTGATAACATTTAAATATGTTTAATATAATTTAAAATTTTGCATTCAATTCAAAAAATAAAAACCTCACCCTTCAAAGAATTATTATCGTTATTATTTCTTAATTAAGTAATGGTCTATCTGTTTCATTAAAATATTTTTGAGACCTTTATAGTTATTGCTTTATATCAAGGGCGCTAATAGAGTCTTACAAGATACGCATACATGTACATAGAACGTTGACTGAAACTGGTACTTTGTGGGCAAACAATCATTTAAAAGGGTCCCATCAGAACTCCAGAAAATAAAGAAGCAGTAATGAAAATCCTGGATAAGCTGAATATTTCGCATGTCTTGGTTTTGAAAATTTTGTACTATTTGTAAAAGAGCTGGAGCGTGTATCCTTCAATGTGGAGGACACTTTCAACAACATAAATAATTTCTACATTCTACTTTTATTGAAAAAGTTCTTAATGATTTAATAACAGAGGATTTTGTTAAAATGTATTAATAGTAGGTAGCGTTTTTTTTTTAAATAAAAATCGTTCATTAATAATCTTGTTCGTATGTAAAAGGTAAAAAAAGCAATCTTAATTTTTTTTTTATGAAGGATGCTAGTTGATAATTAAAAACTAAATATTTTGTTTTATTTTTCATAAAAAAAAGATCCCCATTTAACCAGTGCAGTGGTAACCAAATTAAACAAAAAATAATAAAAAACGCATTGTAGAACTATCACCATCGCTTGTTCACATCATAGTGGTTCCACAAACATTGTATATGAAATTAGAGACCTGATTGGTTAGGCGAATTGGTTCAAAGGAACTTTTCTGTATCTGAAAGAAAGGTCGACAGTGGTAAAATAAACTAAATATACCGGGTGACACAAGAAAGTGGGAACACTATAACTTTTAAACGGCTTGAGGACACAACCTATATGTTTTTGCATTTTTGTGTTCAGGAGGTCATTCCACGTATGATAGGACGGTTTTCTCTTTTTTTTTTGTTCTTTTAAATTTTGATTTAATTTTTGAAGATTGCGTCTAGGAGGCTGTGACCGCCATAAATACTATTCATCGGGTCACCTGATCATGAGAAAAATTGTTAACGAAACGTTTCTTTAATTGTGTTATGGCATATAGCAATTAATGTAATGAACTATTAATTGTTTAGGATAACCTAGTTTTTCAAATAGTACTATGGTGGGAACAAAAAATTTTAAAACCGACTCTTTTAACGCAACATTTCGACACCAAAAATCAAATAAGTAAATACGTTTTTATAAAAACAAAATATTACTTAGGTGGCTTTGCTTCTGTTCATCATCAAGTCGGCATGATTGAAAATTCTGACAGTTTGTACATTTTTATCTGATTATTGATTTTCTTGTGTTGTCGATTTGGATTATCATTCAAAACAATAATCAATTTGCAGGAAAAACTCTCCGACAGGCCCGTGCATTGTATGCGGCTCGCTATCCGGGACGAATTTTAGAGATATAACTACGTGTCCACCTACGTGATGTGTAAGGGGATAGACTAATCTCAACACGCGGTCCAGTCAATTGGCCCCCAGATTTTTTTGTTTGAATTTAATTTCTAAAGCTAAGTTCTAAAGTTTAATCTTAAAATAAATTGGTTATTGAGTAAATATCTATTGCACTTGATTTTTCAAAGAAACTTCCTCTTCCACTGAAACTGAGTTTCAGTCAAGCTCTGAAGAAGCCAACAGGATGATTGGCGAAACGTCAATAAGTTCGACTTAGCAAAACCCGACGAAGGAGGAATCCAGAAGTTTTGAAAAAAAGTATCTATTGCACTTCTTTAATTCAAATAAATACAAAACTGTTTTGTGTTTTGTGTCAACGTAAAACTTGTCTTACGCTAACACACATTGATATACCACTTTCAAATCCATTCTACCGATATTTTTAACGTTTTATTTTAGATTTTCAAAATATTGTGTTGAATTATCCCAAAAAGTTCCAGATTTGAAAGGAAAAAAAATATTTCTATTCTCTAGTTCTTCTGAGTTTCCGATGAAAAGTGTTTGTAGCTTATGACGTAGGTATACAAGCAATACTTACGTTACTTTTTGAGTGTATGCCCGTATCCCATATCAACTTTTTACCATAACATAACATTTGCAACAAAAAATTATAATCGTTGAATCTCAGAAGAAACTTCTCTTCATTTTTTTTTTAAATACTAATCTGCGTGAGCGTGTCGAGAGTTTCTTCTGCATATTTTGTTTTTATAAAAATGTATTTACTTATATGGGTTTTTCCTTCCTGTGAGCTTATATTATAACGGATTTTTAAAATTTTAGTGTCGAAATATTGCAAAAAAAAGCTTTGTTCCCACTAGGATTCATTACTTTAAATGCTTTTTGCCATTAGACAAGTAAAGAAAAGTTTCATTTACAATTTTTCACATGATCAGGTGACCTGATCAATAGTATTCATGATGCTCACAGCCCCCTAGACACAATTTCCAAAAATTAAATAAAAATTAAAAAAAAAAACAAAAACAAAATGAGAAAAACCGTCATATCCTGCATGGAATGATCTCCTGAATACAAAAATGTAAAAAAATATAGGTTGTGTCCTTGAAAATTCGAAAATTAGTGTCGTTTCCGCTCACTGTACTAAAAAATCGGCGCATTAGTAGGAAAAATCTGGTTTGTCTAGTAAAATCGAAAAAAAAAACGTTTTTGAATAATTTAAAAAAAAACGATTTTTTATAAAAACTCCAAGTTAGGTGATACGCTTATGGGAAAAAGTCTTATTTTCTCCTAAAAACCTTTGACGGTTTAACTGGGGTCACCAGGTATATGCGATCTTTTCTATGGTCCCGTATAGAACGCAATAACATTGTCGAAACGTTAAGACATTTTTGTTATTACAATTTTAATGCATAATAAATCAATTTTTTATTGCAAACCCCGGTTTGATAAGTTATCTTCTCAACGTAGACGGAATACCTACCGACAAGGAAACAACGGCGATCGTTTCGGATTTAATTGGAATTTGATAAAATGCGTCAATAAAATCCAAGGCCGAGATATAAAATTGCGCAAAGTGGGATTCTTTAGGCATAAAAAGCGGCAATTCCGTCCGATCGTCAAATTCGACGCTCCTGTTTTTAATGTTAACGTTTTAAGTTGATTTGAAAGCCTGATATTTCCTATCGTTAGAAAATGAGTTGGCCAAACGGTGATTT